TTCCGTTCCATGACTCTCTCTCACTTTGTTAATCTAAATGACGGCCTTGCTTGATGGGTGCTTGTGGACAGAACAGCTCCCTTATCAGCCTGCGCGGAGCATGGCTGGAGATGATCATGGGGGTGGTTATACCAATCTGTACTACAGTAACAACGAGCTGCCTGGTGAGAGGGGATGGAGATAGTCAGGGGAATAAATGGTGAAGTAGATTTGGAGCACAGCCTCATCTTATCTGGCTTAGAGATCATCAATTATATGAATTTGGGGTGCTCAACCCAATGCCCACACCAACATTCAGACTTTGTATCACCATTACCCAGAGAACAGAAGTCCTAGCACTAGGCTAGACAAGGAGGGTGAAAGATGTTTCCAAGCAGAAACTCAGTGGATGGGCATAAAGCTGAATATTGCACAGTGCAGACCCACAATTTGCTTGACTGCACCAATGAAAAAAACCCAGCCTCCTCCCACCCCCAGCTAACGTGTTATATTGACCAAAATAATGGTGAAGGGGCTAATATAAGGGAGAGATGCAGCTGCGGTTTACATATGCTTATTTCTAGCCCTTACGTTTTCTGCATTACAGCAATGGTATAGGATACAAACCTGTTGCTTCCGGTATGGTCCAACAGCAGCACAAACCTATGCACAGCCACTTCCAGGATGTAATACAATGCATATTAAGCTCCCAATCACACTGAGGACTCCTTTTAGAGGTGGCTATGTGGTACCATATAGTGGAATGGAAAAACCCTGGCCCCTAGAAGACAAGCTGAGCCCAGGGTCCAGAGGGTACATTGCTATTAAATACATATATTTCAGATCCACCTATATTGCCAAATTTGGATCAGGGAACTGTAAGCCTCTGGTGTTTCTACAATCCAAGAAAAGAAGAAACAGCAGCATCCCTGGAGGGACTGATGCCACCAATGGAAGCTCCCTCACCATCCCAAACTGATGCTTGAGCAAAGATTTTCCTTTAAAGTAGATGCCCTCTCACTGGATTTCAGTTCAAACCCCGAGTCCAGTAGATTTGGCTTCTCATGTATTCCCCTGGAAACAAGGCTAAGCACAACATAACTGATTGCTCATTAGATGTAACAATCAATGAGGGGCAGTTGTCAGTGTGTACTCAGGGAGGACTGGGGCTGAAATTCACTAGGTCTATTGCCCTATCTCCCACCACTCTCACACCAACAGTGCAACACTGTTATTTTCAGTTCCTAACAGACTGGCTTACTGATCTCTCTCTTGCTCCACAGTTAAGATCCTGGGAACACAGGGTCACTTTTGCTTCCAACTTCTATTCACAGTAAAGTATAAATGCTGGGATTCCAAGGACTCCTAGGAAGACAGAACAATCACACAGAAATCAGGGCACCTATTGGCCTGATGGCAGAGCTGGTTGAGGGGGAGGTGGACACAGCAGGAGATGTCTGCATTTTTTATTAGATTTGCAGTCATCAGTGAAAGTTAAGATCAGCTTCCAAATGACTCCTCAAGGAGGCAGAGGGACTCTGCAGTAGGAGGAATATTAGCATATAGACCTATGGCATCCAATCAGTTCTCAACTAGCCACATTCAACAGGCCAAATAGTCACATTGCTCAAGCCAAATTCACTGGCCAAATAGCCACATGTATAGACGTTTAGATTGGTTAATAAGCTTAATGATTACATGTCATACTCCCCCCCGCTGTCTCTGTTTCAGAGGCGAGATGTCCACGGGGAGCCAGCTTTTAAGCCATGAAGACACCTGTCCCCACACACTGTCCTGGCTGCCTCTGATAGACAGGCAAAAGTGTGGGGGGCAGGTAGGAGTCAAAGCTAAGAGGCTTAAAAGCAGGCTCCTCATGAGCACCAGATCCTGTGGAGCCACTTGCCCTTCCCCAAGGTTACCATGAAGAAGACTCTCTCTCACTTTACATCCCTGACTCCATGTGCCACGTATGGAGCCACTTACATGCATGATTTCTCCCTCATGGTGCACTGAGTGGTGGTTCAAGTTTACTGGCAAGCATTTGTACATGCCTGGCTTCCCTGGTGGTATTTATCTCATGCCAGTGGCTCAGGTGTTATTTTCAGTGCTCTCCTTCTTTTCTGCCTCTCACCAACAGTTGACTGCCACCCCTTCACATTCAACAGCTGGTCCATCTGGTGGTATCCAGACATACCCCTTTCATGGCAGACTGTCTTCCTATCCTGAGTGTCTCAAGAACCACTACTTGTTTAGTCCCCTAGTCCAGGGCGGGGGAGAAGTAAGGTTTGCTTCTTCTCATCGCCATGTACATAAACTGCTGCTTTCAACGCTTTCCTGGAATTGCTCATCTCAACCGTTTTTATCTGGAGGCAGCAGGAGTGGGTATGCTGGGGGCAGGTTGCATTGAAAAACTATGGTGGAGATCAATGTTCCTTCAGCCTTTGAACCCAGGGGAGAGCTTCTTACACAAATATTTGCTAACTAACACTTTTGTTCTTGTCGATGGATGTCAATGTAAGTCTGTAATAGGGCTATCAATGGCAGTGTCAGCTTCTGGAATCAGATCACAACAACACTGCTTGATTCTCAACTTACCTGTTCTATTTTTCCTAGATTTCTTTTGAGACTGAGATGAGCTCTAATGTACTTCTGAATGCTTGTAATTTAGGCATTCCAAGCACTAAAACATATTCCCTTTATTCACAGCATGTGGGAATGTGGCATTTCAGTGTGCCAAAGCATGTAATATCTATTCCTGTGGGAATTTTGTATCACTGAATGTGCGCAGAATTCATGGCCCCTAGAGATTTCTTTGCTTCTAATAGTTCAGGCAGTTTGGTTTGGGCAGCCAGAGTAGCTGGCAGAGACTTAAAATCACTGACAGGGTGGGGATGCTGGGCATTGTTCTTAGTAAATTTCCCCAGGAGTCTAACACAAGTGTGAAAACGTTAAGGCTGCTTTACATTGCAAGAGAAATATAAAGAAGCCTTATTGTAAAGCAAAGTGTGGCCTTATAAATGCTTTCGGTACTTTAGTGATTAGAACTGGTCCAAATTTTTGGACTGAAAATAAATCCTAACAAAATGAGATTTCTGGAGATGATCAATAGTCAATATAAAATGTGAATTTGAGTCCCCAACCCTCACTTGCTCTAATGTTGCCTATGATATAATACTGAGCATATGGCTGCATAGGTTTGTTAACTAATGTCTAGATGTAAAGGGTCAATACTAGACATATTACTATTAGATAGAGGGGGCATTAGGGGGATTTCCTCTAATGCTCCTGAACCCCATTCTTTATCTATTCTACTGCAGTTTAAATAAAAGTAACAAAATAATTGAAACCAGCATGATTATATTGCATTATTTTAAAATATTGGTGCAGAATTCTCCCAGGAGTAAATATCTTCCTCTAATGCACAACTTTTCATCAGTAGACTTCAAAGTGCAGTAGAAGGGTGGTCAATAGCATTATATCCATTTTACAGACAGGGAAACTGAGGCTCAGCAGATCATTGACTGGGACAGGACTAAAACACAGGTCTCCTCAGTTCCCAACAGAGTGGTTCAATGCTCTATCCACTAGGGCATTGTGCCTTATTACTCAGAGCCCTGGATATCGAAACGGCTTCCTCAGCATTACCACCCCACTGTTAACATTAGGGTTGCCTAAGTATTTGGAATTACCCACAGCATTATCAGAATACTGAACCAATACAGACTACAGAAAATCATTTTATGGATTGACTGCTCCAGTGAGCATATAAAGGGTTAACATATAGGCACGTACAGGCAGGCATGAGTAAACAAGTAGCGAAGGAGACACCCTTGGTTTTTTTATACCCCCTCCCCAGCAGTTAGTTTCCAGGTCCAACACCCATTTGCCAACCCCAATGATAGCTCAGCTCCTGGGAAAGGACTTATCCAAACCATGCCACATAGAGACATATTAGTCTCAAATGTATTTGCCATCTCTCTGGATGCTACTACATTACCATGAAAATGCTCGGCTGTTTTCCTTCTCAGGGCCACTCCAAGACCAGCCTCCTGCCATACAAATGCGTGCTGTGACACAGGGCGTTGAAGGCTTTCTGAAGATTTAAAGGGAAGGGGGTGGAAAGAGAAAAGAACTTTCATGTAAGGAAACAAATGTAATATTTATACCATTAACAGGCATTGCCCTCCTCCCACCACAAAAAACAAACAAACAAACAAACAAACAAACAAAAAACCCAAACCCATCCACACCAAACCCCAAAACAACCACCACTCTAGAGGGACTCCTGGAACTCGAAGACATCCGGTTGTAGGGAGAGGAGGATTACATAAGAACAGCTAAAAATTGCAGTGTGGACATTTGGGTTCGGGTTGGAGTCTGGCCTCTGAGACCCTCCTGCTTTGTAGTGTGAACACAGCAATTTACAGCTACACAGCCCGAGCCTCAAAAGCCTGACACAGCTAATTGGGCCAGAGTGTGCAGCATGGTATCTTACAAGTGCATTGGGGGAAGGAGGGGAAAGGAAGAGACATAGCATGTTGTGCAGTTGAGAGACATTTGTCCAGGTTGGACATGTCATTCTGCACTGCCTCCAGGTATAGGTTTGGTGCACCACAACAGTGGCACAGCCTGGAGTGTGGGCTTCCACTTAGAACAGGAGCAGTTGTCTATGCCTCTCACACCAAGGAAGATCAGACTAAATGACCACAGTGACTATGGAATCTATGACACCACCACAGACCATGTTGCTCAGGTACATCAAAGTGAAAGCACAAAACAAGCATGATTCCAGAGCATAGCATTATGATTAAGTAGGTCCACTGATGCAATGCATTTTGAGAAGTCCAAATAGCTTTCCCTTCCACTAAATTCTGGTGATAGAATGAGTCACAGGAGCAAATCTGGTTACACTGGAACTCCAAAATGGAATCTCCTCCTATTCCATCATTATGGATTTATTTCCCACACAATAAAAAGGTTAGAACTATTATTTGCTATTGCTAAAGACTGACAGAAAAAGCCCATGACCTTACATTGACACTGAAGACACAAGTGTTGGCAGAACTATTAACACAACAGACTTTCTATATCCTCAGCTAATCAATGCGAATGCTCAGGAAACACTGGCTTGATCCTGGGAGCTGTTGAGTTGCTCTCAATTCTCACTGACTTTAACGGGAGAGGAGCACGCTCAGGACATTGCAAGAGTGGGTCCTATTATGCAAACACACAAAGAGCCAACATTTCTATAGCACTTTTCATTCCAAGGGACCACAAAGTGCTTCAGAACAAACCAATACATCGCTAAGGCTAAAAATGTTCTTTTAAATGTGTCAGATAAGGTTGAAATAAAACAGGTTTGTAAACTGACTTCTGTGGAAAGCCTACAGTGACTTATAAGTATGTGTAGAGGAAGAGAAGGAAAAGAAAAGGTTACTTACCTCGTAAATGTTGTTCTTTGACATGTGTTGCTCATGCCCATTCCAGGTAGGTGTGTGTGCACAGATTCCAGAGCTTTTTTCCTTAGCAGTATCTGTCAGGCCAGCCAGGGAACCCACTGGAGTGGCGCCGGTATACCGGTGCATATATAACCCTGCTGGCCCTCCACTCCCTCAGTTCCTTCTTGCCGGATACTTCCAACAAGGGTCGGCAGGAGGGATGTGGAATGGACATGAGCAACACATTTTGAAGAAAACAGTTATGAAGTAAGTAACCTTTTCTTCTTCTAGTGCTTGCTCATGTCCATTCCAGTTAGGTGACTCCCAAGCAGTGCCTTAAGAGGTGGGGTTGGAAACCTAATCTGCAATGGACTGCAACACGGCCCTGCTGACTGCTGCATCGTCCCTAGCCTGCTGGGCAATAGTGTAGTGGGTTGTAAACATGTGAATAGAGGACCACGTAGCTGCCCCACAAATCTCAAGAATGGGCACCTGCGCTGCAAATGCCGGAGCCAGGAGAGGGGGTGTCTCCTGCCCTGCCATCTTGTAACAGGTCCTGATACAGGAGGCGATCCACAAGGAGAAGCATTAGGCCAATACAGGAAGACCCCCATCTTCTCTGCTATGGAAATAAAGAGTTGTGATGATCTTCTAGATTCTCGTCCTAACAATGTAGAATGCTAAGGCCCCCCTCACATCTAAGGAGTGCAGTTTGGGGAAGAAAATGGGGAGATAGATATCCTGTGACATGTGAAAATATGGCACTACTTTGGGAAGGAATGATGGGTGGGGCCAAAACCTAACCCTGTCCTTGAAGTATAAGGGGGCTCAGAGCTGAAAGCCCTGAGCTCTGACACGCTCCTGGCTGAAGTGATGGACGGTAAGAACACTACCTTCCATGCAAGGTGTTTCAAGGCACAGGTCTCCATGGGTTCAAATGGGGGGGGGGCTCATGAGCCTCATAAGGACCAAGTTAAGATCCCACGTGGGTCAGGGCTGCCTCACATATGGGTAAAGCCTATCTATACCCTTGAGGAATTGCTTGAACTAGTGCATTTACAAACACTGATCTACCCTCTTTATCCGGGTGGAACACTGCAATGGCAGCTAGGTGGACCCGAAGAGATGAGGTTGATAAACCCTGCTGTCGAAGGTGAAGGAGGCAGTCCAGAATGAGGGGAGTAGGGGCCCTCAGTGGGTCGACTCCTGCCCCATTTACTGACAGCGAGAAATGCTTCCATTTGGCCTCATGTCGCCCTTGTGAAGGGTTTTCTGCTCTCCACCAGAACCCTCCTGACGCACTAACCATGAAGGTTCAAAGCCGCCAGGTGGAGGGATGGCAAGTTCGGGTGGCACAGCCTCCTCTCTCCCAGGTCCTGAGTGATCAGGTCTGGGACCAGAGGTAATACAAGGGGCTCCTCCACCGCCAGATCCAGGAGCATGGGGTACCAGTGTTAGCATGGCCAGCCGGGGCTATTAAGATGACTGATGCTGCGTACCTCCTGACCATCAGGAGTACCTTGTGAAGTAGAGGGAAGGGTAGGAACACATAGAGGAGGTACTTGGGTTACTGTACCAGCAGGACTTCCCCATGTGACCTGCTCCCTTGCCCCAGGTACAAGCAATAGCTCAGGCACTTGGAATTTCCCTGGGAAATGAACAGATCGAGAGGGGGATAGCCCCACCTCTAGAAGACAACTTCTAAGACATCCTCCCTGATGGACCATTATTAGATCTTGAACGATCTGCTGAGCTTGTCTGCTAGCACATTCCGATTCCCCGGGAGGCAGAACGCCTCCAGGTGAATCCTGTGCACAATACACAGATCCCATAGCAGGAGAGCCTCCTTGCAGAGAGGAGAAGAGTGAGCTCCACCCTCTTTGTTGACTGGCTGTAGTATTGTCCATTAGTACCAACACTACCTTGCCCTCCAGTTGGAGCAAGAACACTAGGCAGGCCAGCCTGACTGTCCTGAGCTCTTTGACATTTATGTGTAGTGTGCCCTCGGTTGGGCCTAAATATCTTGGTTTCTGAGGTTAAGTAGGTGGGCTCTCAATCCAGTATCTGACGCGTCCCTCACCAGCTGCACTGACACAGTCCGCCTGGCAAACGAGACTCCGTGGCGCACAACCCACTCCTGCAGACACCATTAAAGACCAGAGAACGTCCTCCGGCACTGTGAGGAGTGCCTCCAGTGGTGGTCGAGCTGGTTTGTGGGCCGAGGCCAGCCACGCTTGAAGGTGCCACAAAATGCAGCCTGGAATGTTGTACCATGAAGCTACAGGCCACCATGTGACCTAAGAGTCTCATACAGGTCCAAGCCGTCATGAGAGGTGCAGCTCTGAGACCCTCTATTATCACTTCGATGGCCAGGAACCTGGCTCTGGGAGAGATGCCCTCACTATTGTACTGTCCAGTTGCGCCCCAACGAAGTCTATTGTTTGTGTGGGTTGAGCGTGGATTTCTCATCGTTTATAAGAAGACCCAGCTTGCACAAAGGATTCCTGACGAAGCCTATGTGCCTTAGAACCTTATCTCTGGATGACCCTGTATCAGCCAGCTGTCGAGGTAGAGGAACACCTGGATCCTATACCGTCCCAGGAAAGTGGCTACGGCGACCATACATTTAGTAAAGACTCTCAGAGCCGTGGAGAGGCTGAACAGAAGGACCGTGAACTGGAAATGAAGCTTGCCCACTAAGAACCTGATGAATTTCCTGTGGGCCGGAATTATCGATATGTGAAAATACGCATCCTTCAAGTTGAGAGCAGCATTACAGTCTCCTTTTTCTAGGGATGGGATGATGGAGGCGAGTGTGACCATTTTGAACCTTGTGTTCTTCATGAATTAGTTTAGATTCCTTAGGTGCAGAATAGGATGAAGACCTCCCTTGGCTTGGGGATAAAGGAAGTAACAGGAGTAAAACCCCCGCCCTTTGAAACTCATTGGAACGGGTTTGACTGCCCCTAATGTTAGGAGGGGCAGATACCTCCTGCTTCAGTAGTATCTCATGAGAGGGATTCCTGAAGAGAGATAGGAAGGGAAGGTGGGTGGATGGGACAGGAAGGGGAAAGCATATCCTCCTTCCACCAGGCCAAGTACCCAACGATCTAAAGTAATCTTGGACCAGGGAAGGAAGAAGTGGGAGAGCCGGGACCCAAAAGGTGGGGTTATAACGGGGGCTGGAACGCTGGAGTGCAGGGGCCTTTGCAGAGGGGCTGGGTATGGATTCCCAATGATTTCCAGCATCACCCTGGAATTCTTCAAGCTATACAACCTTGAGTCAGTTTGCTCGGAAAATAACCCACTGCCCTCAAAAGGCAGGTCTTCTAAAGTGTTTTGGCCTTCAGGTGGGATCCCCGACACCGGAAGCGAAGCACTGTGTCTCATGAATACCTCTGTAGCTATCAGCTATATCCAATGTGGTCTGAAGTGCTGTACGTGAGATCACTGCCTTTGTCTAAGGCCCCAAACTCCTGTCTCTCCTCTTGAGGGAGATGCTCCTTGAATTTGTCTATCACAGACAGCATATTATATGCATATCTGCTTAATATGACTTGTTGGTTCATGATATGGAGCTACAGACCTCCTGTCACGTAGATCCTTCTGTCCAACAGGTCCAATTTCTTTGGTTCCCTGCTCTTGGGCATGGGCC